GATCTTGTCTATTGACAAAGTGAGTGTGTGTGTGTGTGTGTGTGTGTGTGTGTGTGTGGGCGAGGACCGAGGGTTAAGATGCAGTGATCAATACAGCAGATGAGGATCTTTCTCTCTCCTCCTGTATGTCCTTGTCTGGGACATGTCATCAAACACAAACACACACACACACACACACACACACTGGATACAGTTTACCGTAAGTGTGACTCAGCCTCTATGACTGGAATACAGAACACCAAGAAACTGCAGCTCACACACAAACACACACACACACACACACACACACAGAGTAAAGACGACCTGTCATCTCCATCATCTTGAGTGTCAGGGTGGAGTAAGAGAAAGAGAGAGAGAGTTGAAAAGGAGAGAGAGGAGGAGAGGCAGAGCAGCACTAATGGAGGACGAGAAATGAGGAGATGTATAAGGGTTAACAGTTTTATTTAATTACACATCAATAAATCCTGTAAGGCAATTAGACCCATTAGGCTTATGAATCCTGTGCCTGCTGCTGACTTTATTCTCTTTGTATAATACACACTCCTGCACACACATCCCTAATGCTAAACCCGAACCTGATCCCCGAATAATGGCACCAAATTCAAATTCAAGTACTTGTGCTAAACCTAGATCCTAATAGCAACTACTTCACCCTTACTGTAATCTGAAATTTAATCCTAATCTAATATATAGAACCTTAAGTTTTATGTTAATGTCACATCAAACTCGTAACCCTAAACTTGAGCATTAATACAGTTGGCCTTTTATGAGAAAATGTTTTCTAGTTTTCCCTCTGATGATCTCCAACTGCTCAGCTTCAACTCTCTGTGATTTACAGAGTTTCGTGATAGAAGGATAGCTTTAACTACTCGCTAAAGTAGCTAACTGCTGCCTACTGTATCTGCAGTTAGCGGGCAACAGTTATAGTATAGTATTTACAGAATTTCTAATGGAAAGATTGCTAATTAGCAAACCACTAACTTCTACCAGGAGCCTTCAGAAGAAGGTAGATGGTGGCGCTAGGTTGTAGCTCTAGTTGAACGGGTCGTTAGAGCAAATGGCAATCCGTCCAATAGATGATGAGACATTTCAGTTTGGAGGACTGACCAACCGCTATGGGTTTCCCCCAGTACACAATCACACATCACAGTCCAGTCACAAACAAAGTTCATTTATTTCTTACTTAACTTTTCCATTTTTAACTTTCCCAGCTACTCTAACTCTTGCAGTCCAACAAAGAACTAAATTCACGCTGGTGTGTCTTTAGTCCCTTTTATGTGTGTGTTTTACAGCAGTTGGCATCAAGCTTATTGGTGCATTACCGCCACCTTCTGATCCGGTGTGTGAATCTGACAACAGTAACGCTTTATTCTCTGTGCTTCTCTCTGTTCTAGTCCTTCCAAAACCACCATGCATATCAGCCACCTATTCCTATTCATCCATCATACCATATAGAAAACTCCTGTATCCCTTCAGATTCCCAACAAGACCCAAAACCTATGCTCTCTGAATCATGCTCAGTAATCCTTTTAATGTCATTTCCATTTGTATTTTTCCTTTCTTTAATGATCTCTTTAATCCCTTTGCCAGTTCATCCACCCTCCAGTTCCTCCTCATCCCTGTGCCATCCAGTCTGCTACTGCATTTAAAAAGAGACAACAAGCACCAGCTGAGACAATGAACTCACCTGGCACTCTCCCACCTGCAGCTGAATGTTAACCACGCCCACCTCCACAGAGATCAACTTCCTGTTTAGACACAAAAATGTTTCAAAAAATGAATACAGGCAATAAAAAAAACATAGCAACGGCAAGAAGATGCTGTTGGTGTTTATGGACAGCAAAATCTTGACTTCTGTACTCAAACTTTGGTTGTTCTGTTGCATCGCTGCATGTGTCCCTGCATGTAATTTACAGATGACCTTTACGATAAATCAATACAAACAGTAACCTATCAATACCTGCTCACTGAGGGGAGAAAAGATTTCCTCTTCACAAAGTCTGCCTCATGATGCAATGATGAAATATCGGTACAATCTCTCCTAGGAAACACTTTGAGGAATCACATTAAAGAATTTAAACAAATTCAGTGTGTGACAGTCAATTTCATTCATTACTGACGAAAAGAGCCGACTAATGTGAGCTACCGGCTGTTCAGGAATATTTACAAGATTATTGGAAAAACAGTCTAAAAATTAATCACTGAACTATAACCATCACATAAACAGTGAAATTGGGTAGGGAAGAGACAGATACACAAAAACAGGTTACTTCCTGAACTGAAAATGTTTAGCTTATTTCCTCTTACAAGAAAGCCTAGTTGGGGCCTCTTGTTTCAGAAGTTCAGTTCCACTAAACCTCTCACATGATTTCACTTCTGTAAAACATTATCCAATTAATGATTATCTCATTACCCCTCAGGTTTATCTTGTGACCCTTTGGATTGGCCCAGACCCTAGGTTGGGAACCACTGGACTAAACTACCTAACTCTCTGAAGCTTTCTGAGGCACTGAGGCTTTGACGGACTGTTTTATAGCACAGTGCACATCGCCATCTAGTAGTGAAATGAACACAGTTCAGAGTGGTTGAATTATTCAGCTCCATCACTTATTTGATCCTGCTACAGTCACTGCTCTGCGTTTTAGTGGCTGATGTTTTTAAAGGTTTAATGTCTGACAATATTTATAAGAAAAGTTAAAATATATACAAAAATAAAATTCTAGAAGAAATAGCAAAGAAGTCCTGATGAGCTGATTTCTTGTGTTCAAGTGTTGCATTGTCTGTGTTTATGTAACAAATAAATTGAAAACAGTTCCAACAATACTAAAAGTACATCTACTATTTAGACGACAGATAACAGATATTACTGCATATCTGCTGGTGTGCTACTGCAGTCAGGAATGGCTATAAGATATATTCAGAGTCACGCCAACCACTTCAGATACAGTAACTATGTCTAGATGCAAATGCGAAGTTTATCGAAGAGGAGCTGCTTCCTCTGTATTTATTGACTCATTCTAAGGTAATTTCTCTATTTCTCCTAAATGTTACACACTGGAACTTCAACAAAAAACACTGATCAACGATAAGAGACCATCTTGTGGTGGGATCACACCAGCTCGGTGTGTATGGTGCAATGGAAGATCAAGACATCAGAGAAATGAGTTTGGCTAAACAGATGAACTGTGCCAGATTTATTCCAAATGCTTACTCATCTTCACACAATCAACTTTTAACCTACATTAGTTGTACAGTATATGTGTGCTTTGCTGCAATATTTTTATTAAGGTTTGATGCAAGGAATATCCAAACTATCATAACTATCAACACAGAGTTTATGATTAGGAACACAACTTGAAATTATTGTAATATAAGATTGTAAACATTTTTTTAAAGATATTTTGCGGGCTTTTTATGCCTTTATTTTCATAGGACGGGTGAAAATAGACAGGAAAGTAGGAGAGAAAGAGATAGAGATGTTTTCAAGTTTTTTGTATTCAACATTAATTCATTAATTGCCTGGGATGTGAACATCCTCTTCTGCACATAAAAGCTTATGTGTTTCACAGTCAGTTTTTCACTGCTACTGGAGCAGGTGATAACTGCACAGGTTCTTCCCCATTCCCTAGACATTGTTTAAAAAGTACTATTAAATAGAAAGTAATGAGAAAAGTAGAAAACTGTACACTTCCATGGATTCATGTGTGCTCAAGTGCTGCGTCTAGTCTATAAACTGAATGGTTTGTGCACAATATACGTCTCTGATATGCTTAAAGAATTCAAACTGAGTAGGGCTCTTTGATCTATTGACGAGCCCAAACTAACCATGAAGCAGCATTTAGCTGTAATGCTGAATGCAACTGGAATGCATTTTGTACTACTTTGTTTTAATTGTATTATATATATCATACTATTCAATTAAATAGTACAAGATGTGCTGTTTAAATAAACTTGCTGTTGCTTAATATATGTAGATTGGTGTTGACATGTCAGGATTTTGACAAACTGGACAACAGTCCCAGTCTGCTAAATATCTACAGACATACAAGTATCATATAAATACTTAATCAGGGAATGGAATTGGATGCAACCTGGCATGACGTATTGAACAACTGGTAAACGCTGGATAGCACTAATTTCACCATACATTGCTCAAAGTTTAAAAGAAGAATAAAACAAAAGACAAATTGGACATTTCAAAATAATCAAGTGAGTGGTGAACACCCTCAGAAAAATGACTTGCAACACTTTATAAGCTATAAACTGCACAATCTGGATTCAGTAGATTTGGTCCTGCTACTTTCTGGCAGATGGGTTGTTCTAACGTGTGTTGTCTTCAGCATATTTCACATAGTTGACGGAAGACTAAAAATAAAACAGAAATAACATCAAGTTATCTTAACTCAAACTATAGTTGAAACAGATTATATTAAAATTGTAAGTAACACAAAGTAATTTAAATAAAATAAAATATATATATTGATTGAGCATCACTAATAGTTTACTAATTATTTTAAGTGACACGAACCTAGTTTTGTAAGTTTTTCAAAGATTCCTGATTAAGTACTTATTACTAAGCATTTTGTTTTCACAGTACAAATAAAAATGACAAATTAAGTCAGTGTCACTTAAAAGTACTAAAGCTACTTCATCAAGAATATGTTTTCAACTTACAAAATTGAGTTGGTTTTACTTTGATGTAATCAGTTTCAACTTATCTGGTTTTACAGTGAAACAACTGAGATTTATAGTAAAAATATAAAACAGCCAAATATAAACTTATACAGCCAACAGATAAAAGAGAAGTTAAAGGAAGTCACCTCCACGTGCATGCTGTCTGCATTTCCTTTGGTGTTTAAACCAAAGTTCCTGCTTGTCCTCCATTTATAGAGGAGCAGCAGCAAAGCAGCCAACAGCACACAAATCAAGGGCATGCATACAACCAGAGCCAAGAGGAGACCTGGGTGAGAGACAGAGGAGAGGGCTGGGGAGGAGAGAGAAAGACAAGTAGTGAACTAATTGTTTTGTATTGGGAACTTAAAGGTGCGCTGTAGAGTCTTTGACCACCAGTGGAGCTATGGAACAATGTTTTTACATGTTGTTGTTAACGTGTTCGTTCTTACACGTGGTTGGTGCGATAAATATTCCTAACAAAGACACTAACCCACTGATGTACAGGTGGAAATGACGTGCCACCAAATGCCACAATGAGCCAACACAGTCAGGGAAGAAGAAGACTGCTAACAGGTAAAACAGGGATGTAAACAAACATGGATTCAAACTTTTTGTTAGACATAAAGGATACACACAATGTGTTGGTGAGTAACACTGAATACTTAATAACAAGAGAACTCCACATGGCACCTCTAATAACGAGACTAGGTTGAAACGTAGTACATGGCTGGATCGTGTGGTCGTGTCTATTCTGTGAATTTTGGGATATTAAATGTTTGTCCTGCAATAACCTTTAGTGGTCCCATAAGCTATACTGAAAGACATTATTACATGACATGTTTTATGTTTGTTTTTGGGGGCTTTTTTGGCCTTTAATTGACAGAGACAGCTTAAGAGTAACAGGACAGGGGAGAGAGAGGGGATGACACGCTGCAAAGGGCCACAGGTTGGAGCCAAACCCATGGCCACTGGCAGCTGAGACTCAGCCCGGGCACATGGGGAGGCAGCTCTACCAGGTCAGCTATCAGGACGCCCCATCACATGACATGGTTACATTTGATTAAAAATAATGTTAGAAATGGAGTTGCAAGAAAAAATACTTTCCTCTCATATCTTATGATATTTGACATCTGTGGAACGTTGCTCCTTTTTGACTCTCTGTATTGGATGTATCGTCAGTGATTATTATTTAGGCGCTGTAACTGTTTGCTCTCCCTCATACCTCTCCTCTAGAGGTGTTTTCTCTCCTACTCTGCTCAATGCTGGATTGTTGTGAAACCATTGTCTCTGTTTCTAACAGCAGTGGGTTTTATTTTTTCTTTCCAGTTTCATTCTTTTGTGGTGTTCAGGTACTATACTACCAGTGCCATCTGTGTGCATATGATGTACTGTGATGTGACATTGTACTGTGTGCAAAAAACTGTGGCCACCAAAAGGTGGAGAAATTTTTGCAAACTGACCGACTGACTGTTGTTCGCAGCTGGTAAAATAATATTGTTTAACAAGAAACATAGGACAAGTATAATTAATTAAAAAAAATAATGAATAGTACATCTTGTTCCTCCTACTAAAGATAACAAGTATTTATTATTATAGTATTTATTTATTTTAAATTTTATGTGAAATGCACTGAAATAGAAATCGGAAGAGAAGTGTATTCTTATTGGACAGTGGTGTTAGTGCTGCTAAATTTTACAGTTACAGAACATTTGCTGAAGATGAAGACACTGATGTACACTGTGAACTGTACCTGTCAACTGGTGGGTGGTTGTTGTTGGTGTTGTTGTTGTTGTTGGTGTGGAAGCTGATGGCGATGATGTTCAAAGGTCAAAGAGTCCCGTTTCATTTGGAAGTGGTTGGAGCAGTGATTAATGAAAACAAAATGAAACAATAAGATACTAAATCAAAGCATGTAATATGTGGAGATGTTTTTTTATGCATTTTTCCTTTTAACAGGTTGCAAAAATTTTGCTTTTTGCTAAAGAAGTCTTCTTCTGACCCCGACTATAACCATCTGAAATTATTTTACTGTTTAGTTTTTGTGAAAACAATAAAACTCCATTTTCCGGAGATGTTATTTTTTGTTGTACGTAAAGAAAAAAGAAAATCAAACAATTTAAAGAATGTAGCTCATTCCTTTTTGACCATGCCAAAGAAAACCCTGATATTTAATTTCAAGTTTTGTATTTTAAAATAAAAATCAAACCACAGTTTTCTATTTTTTTTAATGCCCGTTTCTAAAAAATAAAATAAAATAACCAAAAGATACACTGATTTCTCTAATTATCCATTTTGAGATTCTAAATAACAATTCAAGTTGTTTTCATTATCAGCTCTTTAAAAGTTAATATTCACTGAACAAAAGGTAGATGGATTATAAAGCAACATTTCCATGAGATTCATTAAGACACTCACCATCAATGACAAGGATCGGGTACATCTTGTATGAATCTGGAGACAAAGCTCTGCCATAACCACACTTGTACCATCCTGTGTCTGACTTGGTCGCCTGCGTGATGGTCACATGCAGTCCAAATACAGATCCGTTTATATATTGAATGCTGTATCTGCCTTTCTGAGCTCTGTTCACCTCTGTTTCAATGAGAATGTCCTCTTCTGTTTTACAATCGCCCTTACACAAGAACTTCTGCTTTCCGTAAACAGTACCGTGGCATCCATAAATGATAGTTTCTCCTTCAGTATCTGCATGGACAAAACCAGAGATTCCATCCAACGTTGCTGTTGAAAAAATTAACTGTCATCAGTTATTGTCTGTACCTGATGTAAGACGCTGCAGTCTGATCACAATATATATATTTCCCAGGTTTTTTTGTGGATTGTTGCAGCCTAAAATGCCTCAATGTGATTATTATTGTTCTTGATAACTCATTAAAAATCAAGGCAAATTCATCCAGTGAGAATAAAATCAGACTGTTAGACCGGGTAAATTTAAGACTTTCGCGTTACACATCTGTACGGTCTGCATCTTCACAACTAGAAACAAGGCTTATACAAAATGGGAAGGACATGCAGAATACACAGGGATTAATTGAATTTGCGTTATACTACTACTACTACTACTACTACTACTACTACAACTACTAACTTTATTCATTTCTATAGCACCTTTTAAAATGCACAGTTACAAAGTGCTTACAAAACAGTAATTAATTTCTTGAGCCTGGGCCAACAGTGGCTAAGGTGTAACCCTAACCCTTTCTTATATTCTATACTACTCTTCTAAAATAATAATATAAGCAGTGTGATAATGATTTGATACAACATCAACAAAATAAGAGTCTGTTGAATACATATGTCAAATGCAATAAATATATCAAGTTTAATTATTTTCAGTTGAAACTCACCATCTAAAACTCTGATCTCAAAGTCAGCGTATGAATATGGAACAACAGTTGGTCCCAAACCACACCTGTACCATGCTGAGTCAGACTTGGTCAGATTTGTGATGGTCACAGTGAGAATTCCTCTTTCAGAAGAAGTGTTACTGAATGCAGTGCTGTATCTGCCACTCTGAGCTGTGAGACCATCTGTTCTGATGAGAATACCTTCTGCCTCACATTCTTCCTTACAGAAGAACTTGTTGCTTCCCATCAGATGCAAGAAGCAACTAATTCCACCAGTTCCTCCTACAGCTCCTGCAAACGTGGTTGCACTGACAAGCCCAGAGTCTCCCCCACACAGTGCTGTTGAAAAGATGAATAGAGAACACTGATGGTCAGTACTATCATAGTTTTTTCAGCATTTTTGCTCTGTCCTTTATATCTGAAATATATATCTAATATGAAGTCAACATCATCACGCTCCTAGACTGTATGTGGTGGAATCACTGCTAAAAAACACAAAGTCAAACCTACATAGACAAACACAGACAAATAATGCTTTTACCTTCAATGCAATCTGCATTGTGCGACTGTTACAAATAAAACCCTTGATCTCATGATCACTCTTTGTTAACCACAAAGCCTATGATAAGCTTATGAAAGCAGATCATACAGTGAACAGTGGTGTAAGAGGACACAAGCTTCATGGCTGGTGAGGGGGCTGCAGCACCCCTAAAATCTGGCCTAGCCTAATCAAAATCATCAGTTAAACTTTTGCCTTTATCCTTTCTTACTGAGATTTATATGTGCTGTGCACTAGTATTTGTGGAAGGAAAGAAGTTTAACATTGGGTTTCAGAGTATCCTACATAGTTTGAGTGAAATTGCTGCCACTGTACAGTGACTCATGGCCATTAATACAACAGGATGTGTGCTTTGGTTATAAATCTAGATTATAAGTATTGCTATACTTTTTTGTTACTTACTTGTACTCTCAAAAAGTATCTTAAGTATGTTTCCACTGGATACTCGTTTGAGCCGAGTTCTTGTCAGAATCTATTTTTTTCCAGCTTCCAAACCGGTTTGTGTTCAAGTAATCAAGGAAATTCGGTACAGTCCCTATAACACAGCCCAAATAATAATAAAGCCCCAAACAACACTAAACACCCTTTACCTTAACATTTATAAATTGTATGTTATAAGCCATGGTTACATTACCAATTGATTCTTGTCCCTGTCCATATTTCACTGTTGTTGCCTTGTACTTCACACCCCCAAAGTCTAAGCAATCTGTGCAATGACCTTGATTATCATTAACAAGGTTTACACTTAAAATATGTTATTTTATGTTGGGTAAACTTCAGTAAAAAAGAGAGTTGCAAGAGTTGGAGTCCCCAAGAGGTACATGGCCTTGTATGACTGCATCATTCACTCCCATTGAAGAAAAATGACATAAGAGAGTCAGAAAGACAAAGTGAATGTACTCACAGAGGATGAAGAAACAGATCAAAGTGTGATGGACTTTCATGTTGACGCTCTGATGGTTTACTGCTGTCTCTCTTCCTTCCTCACTGGTAA